ACGGTTTAATTGTAGACATACATATTTATTAAAGCATCGTTGCCTATGCTAAAAATGTTTCAAGTTTTACAGAGTAGGTACATTTTGGACCCTCTAGTTTATTTCAAAAGAAATAAATATATTTATATTTATTAATACAAGTTATGATTACATGGATTGAAGATTGAGATTCCTATTTGCAGATAATAAAGACAATTTTTAGTTTAATTAAAAAAGATGAATATATTCAATATTTTTCATTTCTTTTTTAAATGCTAATTTTACTTAAAGACCCGGAATCTTCTAAGGGAAGTGATTTATTTTTTTTTGTACGATTTAAAAATAGTTGTGATTACGTTAGGGTACGTTTATGTTGGAGCGGCGATAAACGATGCGAGCGAAGAGAGAGTTGTTGCGAAATCGCAGCGCTGAAGTGTTCATGTCGGAGCATCGCGAAGCAACGCCGCTCCGAATCTGCCAGACACCTACAGAACATTCGGCCAAACTAACTTCCCTTCCATACCAACCTTACTCGTAAATCACCCTCCATACTTTCTTAATTGGCTTAGGGACTTTTGGTTAAGATTTACGTTGAACCGCAGGAGGAGTCAACCTAAACTTCATTCCTCTACGCAATGCAGCCTACGAGGTCCATAGGTCTTTTTTTCGCTGGATATTGGCATGCTTGATAAAGAGAGATATGTTAATCTCACTCAAATCCCCCTGCAACATGCGGCAAACAGCTGTGTGGAGTCCGGGAGAGAGTTGATGCTAGCGCGTACTTATTTCGAAGTTTTTGTTCTGCAAGCGAATTCAATTGTGGTTTGCTTTGGAAATGTATTGTTATTTTATATTTTGCTTTGCATTTTCATCGATGCGTCGTGATTTGACGGAAAGGCCTTCAATAAATGTGCTAAGGAGGAGAATTGTAGAAAGTGAGAGAAGTAAAAAATATTCACGAAGAGAATTGCTCAGTTTGATTACCTGGTTGTGGCGATGATTATAGAGGTATGCTGCCTTGACTACAATAATTATTAAGATGGTTTGCTTCGAACATGTCATAAGGATAAATAATCACCATAAACATCAGTAATTGAATCAGTACTTAATTTTTTCTTGAAAATTATTTTAGATAACGTGAATTTTGCAAATATTTATTATACCAATACAAAAATGATTATACAATCTAACTTTATGCAAATTAGTGTTTACTGAAAATTAAAATGACTTACTTGTAGCATATTTACATTGACTATAAAAGAAGCAGATTTGTTTATATTTAAAAAATATAATATTTTGTGATGGGTTAGGTGATGAATTACATTTGAAAAAACTCAATAGCCATTTCCTTTCCTTTATACGGAGAAGCCTAGCCTCTTGATGAAAGCAATTTCGAAGTAATGTGAATGAGTGTTTAAGAAATAATTATGGAATGGGGTCTTGTATGAAGGAAACGAAATTTATTGTGTACTATAGGCCTATGTGGATCTCCAAAATTAAGAATATTTTCTTCCAAATTTTATGAAAAATAAAAACAGTGAAGACAACTGTGAAATTGTGCCAAAAAAGTGACTACATACAGAATATTTCAAATATGTGCAGTGCTCTATTATTCTGCCATTTTCTATAATTCAAAGTCCCATTAGTCTGTCAAATTTAATCTTTTAACACAGTTTTCAGCTTGGTACATTCTCAGTATTTAGAAAGGAAAGTATCATTTTTTATTTAAAGAAAATAATTAATTTAAAGTACATTTTTTGTCCTATTTTTGTTTCTTCTGTGATATAAATAATTGTATGTTATGCAATATACATCATGGAGGAAATAAAAAGGAAATTTAAAAAGTCTACTTCAAATTATTATTATCTTTAAAAATAAGAAAGAATTCTTCACGTTTTAATATTGTCTAAGACAATAATTTTGGTGTTAATTTTATCAATCTTAATTGAATTCTCAGTATATGTTTCCTACTGTGCTGGTAAAGAGCCTGTATTGTGGTGATATGTTGGTGTTTAAATTAACTGAATATAAAGTCTGAATACTACACATACAAAAAAACCATCAAATGTTCAAAATCATTTCCAAAATATAAATTTTTTAGTGGTCCTCAGTTAATGTTGACTGAACAACAAAACACTCTCTCCAAATTGTTTTTTTGTTTTTTTTAATGAAATTTGATCCAAGTTTACATGGAAGACTTCTGAAATTAATGTGTTTTTTCAAAAACCATTGTAAATTAATAATTTTAAATTATTAAGTAGAAACGGAACTGAATTTCAAAGAAAACAGATTATCAGGGAAGTGATAAAGGTAATTGGTAAGCTAGTTTTATTTTAAAATGTTTCTTCAATGTTAAACAGTAATAAACTGGAAGGCTGAGGGTTCTATAGGGTGTAACACCTCAATATTTTGCCAAATAGTGGCATGGGACAATTTGATCCCAATCACTTCAATTTTGATTTTATTACAAATGTGTAATTCAAATGTTGTTCAAGGAAATGTGATATTATTTGTAATTTCAAAACCAAAAATGTAAATACTTATATTTCCATAAATTTTCTAGTTAAAAAATCTGTTTCTGGCATCGCATTTTTCTTCTATTGTTCTTCAGTTTATTCACTGATAAAACATCCACAATTGTTTAATAATATTTAAAAAATAAATTCATTTTACAATTTCTGTTATAAATTATGTCTCCTTGGACTGCACCCACATTGTGAAGGTGCCATAGATAGCAAGCACATAAAAATAACTCATCCCGATCAATCTGGGTGAATGTCTCACAACTACAAGAAATTATTTTCTAGTTTTATAAGGTGTAGTGGATAAAAATTACAAATTCATTAACAGATGGAGTGGATAGTTATGGCTAACAAAATAATAGGGGTACCTTCTAAGTAACTACATTAGAAAAATTACTCGGAATAATATATTATCACAGCGAGATGATAATGTGCTTTACTTAAGTTAACATTTAGGTTTCCACAACACAATACAACAATAAACATGACAGACATACCATAATTATTTTATTTTTAAATTCTCTGGGGGTAGCAGATATCTTGTGGTAATCCAGAGTATGGTAAAGGAAATGATCTCCACAAAAGTTTTAATAATTTTATTAACAATTTTTCAGAGTTAACTTTCAGGAAACACTTTTCCCATCCTCAGTGGATCTCTAGCAAAATGGAAAAATGAAACATTAACACAAGTTGAATACAAAAACGGGGGGGTCAGTGAATGTAGTTCGGGAAAAAACAAACAATTATCATATAATAATCAGCACCAAAAAGGTTTGAAATTATTTTAATAAGGTTTTTTCCCTCACATAGCTATAGAACGGAAGAAATTTATTTGCATCACCTAATCATAGGTCTGTAATCCAAACGTAATACAATATCTCAGTAGCCTACAAAACCCTAAACTCCCTCCAATCTTTGTTCCCTAGTTCCAAATCATATCCCCTCCATTGATAGAAGTGGAATTTATCACCTAACTTGTAATAACTGTAATTCAGCATATGTAGAGTAAACAGGCAGAAAATTTTCGGTTAGAATTAATGAGCATATTAGATGTTGGAAACAAAATTTAAACACTTCTACCTTCCCCAACCATTTGATTCAATTTAATCATTCTTTTGACCCCATTTATAATTTTAAAATTCTTCACTTAATCAACAAAGGCACAAAAAAGAACATTTTGGAAAACTTGAAAATTCTAAACCTTTAAAAAACACTATTTTTTCTGTCTTGAATGAACATTTCTTGATTAAAAGCTGTCCCATTCTTAATATTTTATTAACTAGCACCTAATCATTCTTTTGAGTAGTCTTTTTATGACAAGCCTTTCTTCTCTTCTTCCCCACTCCCTTTCCCTTCATTGTTAGTCTTCCTCTTCTCCCATTCCAAAAGATGGCTGCCACCTAGCTGTAACCATGTTTTGCCGGTTTACATTTTTTGACCATTTGTGAACATTCATGGGAGATCCACGTTGCTTGAGCAGTAAGTACTTTCTATTTGTATTTATTTGATATTATTTGTTTGTTTTTCCACTGAATTCACTGTATCCCCCCCCCGTTTTTGTGTTCAACTTGTGTTAGTGTTTCATTTCCTCATTTTGCTAGAGATCCACTGAGGATGGGAAAAGTGTTTCCCGAAAGTTAACTCTGGAAAATTAATAATAAAATTATTAAAACTTTTGTGGAGATTATTTCCTTTACAATACTTTTTTTATTTTTGTTGTTAATTGAGAAACGAATGTAACATAACCTCTAAAACGTACGTGTACTAATTTTGACGGCCCACAATTTGTCTAAAACGAATATATTGCGGTGATTTATGTCTCTTTTGCCCCACAATTGACTCCTAACAAAAACACAAATGATAAATTTCTCAGCAATCATTTTATTCGACACTTACAACACCTGAAGTGTGTCAGCTGTGAACAGCGCGGACCAGCGATACTAGCAGCGAAAACCTACCAAAAGGGTTTTCGCCGCTCTTATCCCTAGTCGCAGCGCTGATCCCGAGAGCAGCGCACTGCCAACATGAACACCTCCATTTGATTACATGGCGACGTTCTCGTTGCTAGGCTCGCAGCTTTGCTCTTATCGTTTATCGCAGCTCCAACATTAACGTACACTTAGGCTCAAAATACGAATAAATGTTTTCTGCAAAATACTACTGGTACATAAATGTTTTATATTTGGCTGTAACTACATTTTGAAATCCATATCGCAAGCAGACCACTAAGTTTCATTTAACTTGTAATAAAAGTTTAAAGGACAAAAGCATGAACTGCGAGAATTATATTTTAAGCCCATCAACAACCTCATGTATCGTAGGTTATGAGTAAACGTAGGGCTAGATGGCTGTTAGTTGTCGACGTCGCACCACCGCAGGGAGCCAATTGGAGAGCGGGGGGGAGGGGGGCGTAGGTGCGTCCGCGCGGTTGGAGGGGCATCTGGCGACGCAGCGGGCTCTGCGCCGCGCAGTGGCTCCCGACAGCCCACGCGCACAGGATGGGCAGGCTCAGCGCCCTGGTCGCCGGTGAGTGCGCTCCCCGGCCGCAGCTAACACCGAATCACGTCACGTGTCTGCTTTAGGACAGACGGACGGTCCGGCAGACGGACAGATGGACGGTCCGGCAGACGGACAAACGGACGGACAGACAGACAGAGACTGACGGACGGACGGACAGACAGACAGAGACTGACGGACGGACGGACGGATAGACAGACAGTCAGTCTGTCCGTCCGTCCGTCAGTCTGACGGACGGACAGACTGACTGACTGACGGACAGACTGACTGACTGACGGACGGACGGACTGACTGACGGACGGACAGACAGACTGACTGACGGACGGACAGACAGACTGACTGACGGACGGACAGACAGACTGACGGACGGACGGACGGACTGACGGACAGACAGACAGACTGACTGACGGACAGACAGACTGACGGACAGACAGACTGACGGACAGACAGACTGACGGACAGACAGACAGACGGACCGACAGACTGACGGACAGACAGACTGACGGACCGACAGACTGACGGACAGACAGACTGACTGACGTACAGACGGACGGACGGACGGACAGCTGACGGACGGACGGACAGAGAGACTGACGGACGGACGGGTAGACGGACGGTCGGTCAGACGGACGGATGGTCAGACGGATGGACCATCAGACAAGGCAGGGGTAGGGCAAAAGGACGAAGACGGTCAGACAAGGCAGAGGTGGGGCTAAAGGACGAACGGTCAGACCAGGCAGAGGAAGGGCAAAAGGACGGACGATATAAATGGAGAGACAAACGTACAGAGTATTTGAAAAAACAACACTTTTTCGGTATGATGGGACCCCAAAACGTTAATTTCTGTTGAAAATCGCATTTGGATTTCCGCAGCATTTAATAACTTACCATATACATGTACTCCTTATATACGTACGTAGACGAGAGAGTAAAATGTGGATATTACCAGCTGCTAAATTGAGAAAAAAAATCTTTAAATATGGCGTAGCCCGAAAAACACCGCAATGTTTCCTGCAGCATTAAAAAACAGTCTCTGTACTGCGTAAGCAGTACCGAGAAAGTAAAAGTTGCCATCAAACTTTTAATGGAAGTGCGCTCTGTGTTCCAGTAGTGTTGGTGACATGCGCAGTGACGCATGGGACGGAGAAGGACGGAAATTCCCTGAAACTCGGGACGAACACGGAAGATGCACGAGCGCTGATGGTCAAAGCGTGCAACGCCTTCTCCATGGACCTCTACAAGGTGAGATTTGTCCCTCTCGCTTTCTCTCTCTCCGCGAAGACCCAGTCCCAACTAGATCACCCACTGAAAAAAAGTTTAGGTCCTATAGAGGCATCGAAGATAAGCAATTTCGTTAATAAACTGCCCATTCCAAACGGTAGGAAATTTATTATAAAGAAATTAAACACATTACATCTTCAACTAATTGTTCTGCAACTTGTCATGCATCGGTCTTTGGAGCTACACGAATTTTTCTTGACTGCGTAAGAACGTGAGCTACTGAACACTAGTGCATGAGGAGTTACCTAACAACCGAATCATTGATTGATTGCTAGTTATTCCGAGTACGACCACCTTTAAGGTCATTAATCTCGCAAGTGCTGTACATTTTTCCCCTTGGGAGGATGTTGGAATCTTCCCAAGTTAAATGGTGAGATTCGGCTCCAACCTACCGTCGGCTAGCGCGGTTTTCTTCAACAGCGTATCTCCTACCAGCGAGGCACCGCTCTATCTGGAACAAGCTTAAAGCTCCGGACCGGTCTCCAAGCATGATTCGTGGTGTAGTGCATTTAAGTATGTGCACGGGATGAGGTTAAGACAAGGAAGGAGAAGGAAAGATCGCGCGTGGTCAGTTGCCCGTTCATTAGGGTACGCCTGGTTTTGTTCGGAGAAACCACAGATAACTAACGATCAGAGCAGACAGCCGCTAGACTTCTAAACAGCGACTGTATTCGACCTAGCTGACAATCTAACAAACGGGACAAATTTAACATTAATTCGTTATATGAAATTCCCCATCACATGTACATTGGCGAAGAGTGTTCATCTTCGACCGCTCTTCCCTAAAAAACAGAAGTTTGTAACATTTATGTTTAGACACTCGGCATAGATATTAGCTACTTAAGTAACATTTACGGTTTTAGTATCAATCGAATCCTGATAAATGAGGCGGCAAAAGGGAGACGATTACGGAGAGATAATGAATTGAATTCTTACTTCGTCAATGTTATTATTTGTTGAAAACGAATATTATTTACGGAGATGCAAATGCAATTCCGAGAAGAAGAGTCGCGAAGAGGTCCTTCTCTTGTTTTTGCAAAAGTAAATCAGTGGGTTCTATGATCTTACAATCCAATTCACTAATAAATCTGGTTCACATAATACATGTTTAGAACACATATTTTATTATTGTTTCTTATCTATTCTGATATTAAACAGCCTTTGACGTTTGAGAATTTCATATTTATGACTTGAATTCTTTCCCAGAACCCATTGTACATTATCACAGAACGAATATAAATATTTAATTACAGTAAATATATATAATCGTGAAATGTTGAACGCATTACAACAACAATGACGCCACTTGTTCATTTGCAATGCTTTGAATATAAAAAAGACAGTAATACAACGTATTTTAATACACATCTGACTATAAAGAGGATGAAAGCGTCTACTTGAGTTTCTCTAACACTTTTATTGGAACTTCGATCATGATAATAGCAATAATAATATTAATAAAAATGAATATTTTTATTATTAATATTAATATTATAAGCATGGCAATGGCATTGTAAGGGCAATGGTGGACAAATTTTGAAAGTCAAGAATGACAAGAGCACCGACAACTACATGACCACTCTGGAATTTAAGGCTGGAGAAAAGAATAAAGCAGTTTAGATCAACTATAGCGCTTTTGAAAGCCTATCTGAGGGACAACAAAAGCAAAAAGATAAACAGAAAAACATATGAAATCATGAATGTAAAATGTCATGATCCTAGAATGTATTGATACTCTGACGCAAAAACATAGCCGTTACAGCCAAAGATTGAGACGCTATAATAAGAGATTAAAGCGCAAACATGATAACCAATTATTCTATAGAAACCAAAAGGGTTTTATAGAACAGTGAAAAGAGAAAACGTTCAGCTGCAAGTGAAGTCAGCTGTAGAAGAATTCTGAGAGGGGTCAACAGAATGGTAAGCAGAAGGCCACCATTAAGAAAGCACGTCATGGACGAGTGAAGTTACGAAACCTACTGATACTATCAGACACATGGAAACCAGTGAAATTGCTATGACTATCGTACGGGCTTCTATTCGTAGGCTGAATAATTGGAATTGCCCGTGCCCTGATGCGCTACATAACGTCTGGTTCAAGAAATCCCTTTGTCTCTATGAAAAGATCTCGACACTTGTGAATCTTCACTTGAAAAAATGCGGAAGAACTTCCAGACATCTTGAGTGAGGGAGTTAAAACCAAAAAGAAATTACACTACACTTCCAGTGAATTACCAACCAATCTCATGCCTCAATGCAAGAGATACAAGATCATGATTAGTTGTCTGCGTACGATGATCGAACAACATTGCACATAGAATAACATCACGTACAAATCTGAATAAGGCTGCTGCATGTGCCCATTGGGACATAGAGCTAGCGAAGTTAGTAATAGACAGGGAAATCAAGTCTCAGACATATGGAAAAAAGTTTCACGTATATACGTGTTATATAGATTATAAAAATGCATTCGACATGATCCCTCACGATTGGCTCATCCACGTTCTTAGAATATATGGTATAAACCCCGCGATTGTGTAATTCCTCGAGGCTGTAAAGAACTACTGGTCGTACGAGAATGCGCATGCATTCAAAGAACGAGAGAGTAGTAACAAACAGAAGATCAAGCGAGGAATATTTCAAGTAAATAACTTCAGTCCGTTTTGGTTCTGCCTGGCCAAAAAAAATCACTGTCATATTTATTGAACATCATTACATTTGGATTTGAACTGAAAGGCCAAGAGGGTCGGAAGAAGTTAATGTATCACTGAAAGGTTTTTTAGAGAATTCTCGCGATGCAGACGGCGGGCAGTGCGACAGACAAACGTGCTGCCGTCACCACTGAGTGTCATCCTCCAAACGAGTTAGTTAACGGCTTTTATCTCTTTAAAGAAAGCGGGATGTATAGTGAAGACCAACATTAGAGATGCTGATCGATGGATGGTTTCATGGCGTTTCTTCCACTACAGAGGGCGGGCAGTTCGACGGAGGCCAAGGTGGTGCTGTCTCCACAGAGAATCATCCTCCAGAAGAGTTAGTTCACGGCTTTTATCTCTTTAAAGAGAGCGGGGTGTATGGTGAAGACCAACATCAGGGATGCAGATCGATGGATGGCTTCATGGCGTTTCTTCCACTACAGAGGGCGGGCAGTTCGACGGAGACCAACGTGGTGCTGTCTCCACAGAGAATCATCCTCCAGAAGAGTTAGTTCTCGGCTTTTATCTCTTTAAAGAGAGTGGGGTGTATGATGAAGACCAACATCAGAGATGCTGATCGATGGATGGCTTCATGGCGTTTCTTCCACTACAGAGGGCGGGCAGTGCGACGGAGGGCAACGCAGTGCTCTCTCCACAGAGTATCATCGTCCAGAAGAGTTAGTTCACGGCTTTAATCTCTTTAAAGAGAGCGGGATGTATGGTGAAGACCAACATCAGACATGCAGCTCGATGGACGGTTTCATGGCGTTTCTTCCACTACAGAGGGCGGGCAGTGCGACGGAGGGCAACGTGGTGCTGTCTCCACAGAGAATCATCCTCCAGAAGAGTTCCTTCACGGCTTTTATCTCTTTCAAGAGAGCGTGATGTAGAGTGAAGACCAACATAAGAGATGCAAATCGATGGATTGCTTTATGGCGTTTATTCCATTACAGAGGGCGGGCAGTGCGACGGAGGGCAACGTGGTGCCGCCTCCGCTGAGTGTCATCCTCCAGAAGAGTTCCTTCACGGCTTTCATCTCTTCAAAGAGAGCGGGATGAAGGGCGAAGACAAACATAAGAGATGCAGCTCGATGGACGGTTTCATGGCGTTTCTTCCCTTACAGACGGCGGGCAGTGCGACGGAGGGTCACGCGGTGCTGTCTCCATACGGTATCATCGTCCAGAAGTGTTAGTTCACGGCTTTAATCTCTTTTAAAGAGAGCGGGGTGTATGGTGAAGACCATCAGAGATGCTGATCGATGGTGGCTTCATGCGTTTCTTCATTACAGAAGGGCGGGCAGTGCGACGCGAGGCAAACGTGGTGCTGTCTCCGCTGAGCGCAGCGGGCTGCTGCTGGCGCTGAGAGAATTGCCTCGCGGCGGGGACACCGGCCCAGGAGCTGGGCCGCGCTGCACCTCCCAGGGCAAAGGGTTGTGAGCGCTGGGCTCCAGGCGCTCGTCTCATCGCTGCAGGTGAGTCAGCGCGTGCGCAAAGCAATGGCAGAAAAGGTAAGGGCGTGTGAATGGTAAGTGGAAATTGGGTGACGCAACGCAACGGAAACGTTTTACACACGTAAAAACGTGTCGTAAGCAATGCAAACATTGCTTTCATCGATCGGTATTGAACTCTGCGCCTCTAGTATAGGAAGGCGAGTGTGTTTCTTAAAAGCAAGATAGACCTCCATACCTCCAGTTATCAGAGTAGATATGGAGATAATGTCATGAGGAATAACTTAATTTCTTTAACTCAGATCACCTTGCAAATAGGTACCATTGTTTTTAGTAGATCTCTAAGTTGTTAATACACGTAGTCAGGTCGTCGCAATATCAATTATAAAATGGTGTGCGTACGCAAATATAAACAGAACAACCGCCGTGAGGCTGTGCCGACTATTGAAGAAAAAAATTGTACGGTAGGTGTATATTCAAAACATTTCAGACGCTACAGGTGAAAACATCCTTTCGCAAAATAAATACTTATTTTTGAACAAAAATGGTTGTACAAAAAATTTTTACAGTGGAAAAAAACTACGATATTCGTGTCATAACATGTCATTGGATTACTTGATTGACTATTAAACTCGTGCTAAAGCTACGGATGATAATTCTGGAATTTTTAATTGTAATATGATATCCTAAGATTTTTGTTTTGTAATTATATACTTGCTGTTTTTGGGGGTAGTGCTAGCGGGGGCACAGGAACCTAACCTTAATTAATCTAATTTAACACTGTGCATTCACTAAAATTATTAAATGTTAATACGATTAAAATGAAGTAAAAGAAATAGAAATTTCACACGACAAGAAAGATGTTTAAAGCTTTTTAATCATCTAAAGCGAATCTATAAAAAATTGATATACTTTTCGTAATAAATATAATTTTTGTAACAAACATCAATTCCTGGAAGATCGTTAAATATTCACAAAGTGAATAAAACATATATTATTCGTATTGTAAGATCTTGTTACAATACACAATTAGTTATAAAACTCTCCCATCTCATATTGTTATAACGATACATATTAAACGAAACGACACATATTAGACAAATAACTATTACCTTTCTGTGTAATAAATTACCTACAATTGTTACACTTCAACACCTTTGTGCCGTTAGCCCCCGAAAAATCGTTCGGGGAACGTGGTTCTCCGCCTGGCGAACAGGCTGTACGCGCAGAAGGGCCTGCACCTCATGAAGGACTTCGTTGGGAAAGCGAAGAACTACTTCGAGGCGGACGCCCAAGAGTTGGACTTCCACAATGACCAGGAATCCACGCGAGACGCCATCAACCAATGGGTGGAGAAGTACACGGCCGGCAAGATCAAAGAGTTCATGCCAAAGGGTAAGCATTCGGCTTCAGGATGAAAGGAATGAAGCGAAATGCGAATAGCGAATGAAAATGAAAAGTGTCATTACAGCTGATGACTTTTGATCTATCGTATACATTGTGTTATAATCATCTTTAAATAATAAGATGCATTGAATTTATTATTTAATGCAAAAAATGCCTGAACTAACATTGTTGGTTCAATCTATTACTAGTTAAAACTGAGTAAGCAAATAACTATTCGGGAAGTGTAAACCTTAGAGGAAACACCTTAAAACATGGAGATAAGTGTTGTTTGTAACAAAATGACAAAAGGCGAGGTTATTTTCTCCGATTTTAATACAAAAAACTGACATATGCGAAATCGACTTACTCTCGACAACACCTTGCGCATTGCACCTGGAGAATTTGAAACATTTCCATTAAAAGATGCAAGATATTCACAAGTAGGTATAATATACTTTAGCCATTCCTTTGATCTCAGAGCAAAACGATTAAAACTTTGAAGAAAATAACCACGTAAATTGACACAGTTTCCAATCCGAGGAATATCGATCAGGAACGACGAACTGCGATGTTCTGTCCTGTGTCTGTTCGAGCTGGCCGGTCAGTAGATGACAAATTCACACCATGGTGGGGTAAAGAGTTATGCGCTGTGACGTGTGTTTCTTCAAATAGTAGTCACTTCCTGTCACAAACTGTCACCTCCTGCCACGCGTTTTAGCAGTGTGCAGGTTTCACCGAATGTGAATTTAGCCGAGAGACAAACGGGTCAGTAAAGCAAGGCGTCTTCGCCACGCTTGCATGTAGAGAGAACGGGCTTTTACTTTCCCGTATACGTTCGTATATACAGAAAATATACGTAGTATTGGAAACGTTACGTCTTGCTGCGGAAAATCGATTTCGAGATTCCAAACGAAATACACGTTTTGGAGTCTCCTGATACCGAAAAAGTGTTTTTTTTCTTCAAAACGTCCGTTTGTCCAACTGTCCGTCCGTCCGTTCGTCCGTCCGTCCGTCCGTCCGTCCGACCGTCCGACCGTCCGAGCGTCCGTCCGACCGTCCGTCCGTCCGTCCGACCGTCCGTCCGACCGTCC